TTAATATTTTTTTTTTTATATTTTATTTTTATATCTAATTTTTTAATGAATTTTTTATTTTTATTATATATTTTTTTTATTAGTAATAATTTTTTTTGTATTATAAATAAATTAAAAAATTTTTAATTTTATGAGTAATAAATTATTTCATATTATATATAAATAATTATCAATTATATAAATAAAACATATATTTACATTAATGTAACTTTCATATAATATTATTAAAATATCAATAATAATAATAAAAATCATATGTTGTAAAAAATAATATCTTTTTTATATAAATTTCATATATTAATATTAATTTTCAAATTTTTATAAAACAAATCTTTATTTTTTAATATATTGTTTTTATAGATATGTTTTTTTATTTTTAGCGGTTTTTTTATAGTAGTTTTTATTTCCCTTTATTATTTTTATTTATTATTAAATTTTTTATTATATGGAATATATATTTATAATGATTTTTATTCTTATTATAATTTTCTTAAATTTTAATAATTTTTAATTATATTTTTTTTATAACATTCATTAAAATTATGAATTAATAAAAATTAGTTTCCTTTAATATTTATTATTCTGTTTACTTCATTTTTAACAAAAAATGTAATATGCATTAAATATATATTATTTTTAATTTAAATAATTATTATATATATATATATATATATATATATATAAATATATATGTATATAAGTTTATTATATAAAGTATATTATTTTAAATACAAAATCCTATTGATTAATCAAATGTAATTAAATAAATATTATTATAAAATTAAAACAAACTATTATAAAAATAAAATTAGAAAATTAATTTATAATATTTACACTCTTTCTTTGTTAATAATAGAAGAAAATAAATTTAAGAAATACTTTACCTAATTATTTTAAAATTAAAGAAAATAAAAATCAATTTTTGGTCATTTCATAAAGCTTTTATTAAATTAATATTTATTGATAAATTAATTTTCTTCTCACTAAAAAACGATCCCTAAAAAATTAAAAAATTGAATATATACTATTGAATAATTTACGTTTTAAATTAGTTACTATTTATAATCTATATATGTTAAAAAATTAACATAATATGATTCAGATAATATTTTTTACGATAGAATTCTTAATTAATAATTAGATCAATAAGAATTCTTATAAGTTACTAAGCAAGCCTTTCGAATCAGAATAATATTTTAATATAAGTTAGTTATACAGTTTTTATGTTAGAAAAGATATAAAATGAGGAATTTAGATAAGAATAATAATAAATATATTAATTAAACTGAAACACATGCTTAAGTTGAATAATTTAATATACGTTCAGGTAAAAACTTAGATGCTGTTTTCTTTTTAAAATTCTTGATGTTGACTAAAGTGGTAGATTATATAGAAAAGAATTTGGTGATTGCATAATTATCATTATTGAAAATTCGAGAAGACAAACAGTTGATTAAATTAATAAAGAATAAGAAAAGAAAAGAAAAACAGAATATATTGAAAATCTTTGAAATAAAAATGCTTTGTTTATTATTATAAATAATTTTTTAAAAATTAAATTAAAAAATAAAGAACAAAAAAAAAAGAAGATATATTAATACAATTAAGGAAATTATTTAATTAAATAAAAAATATTAAAATACATACATATATTAATTATTATTTCAATATTTTTTTTAATATATCAAAGAAAAATATTATTAATATTTTAAATAATTTTTTATTTTTATTTCTTAAATTTTTTTTATATATACAATAAAATATAATTTATAAACATAATAAAAATTATAAAATTTATATTTCAAATTAAATATGTATAAAAAGTTTTAATATTTAAAAAATTCTATTTTGATTAAATAACTATAAAATATTTAAGACTTTCTTTTATTTTTAATAATTAAATTATTATTTGATTTATTTGAATCAATTTTAAACAAAAATATAGCTCTAATAAAAAAATATTTATTTTATCACTAAATATTACTTATTATATTAAAATTAAAAAAATTATTTTGGAAATCAGATTAAGGTTTTTTTTCATTTAAAACTTTAGATAATATATTTAAAATCGAAGAGATATTATTTAGGAAAAATAAGAAATTATTAAATTTATGTAAATAGGCGCTTATTTTTATAGATTAAAAAGTAATAAGTGTATAAATATAGTTATTAAATTTTCAAATTAAGAATTTTTTGAAAATAAAAATTATAGAACATATTAAATATTAATATAATACTTATTTTCATTTTGTTAATTTTTTTATTTAGAGTTAAATAAGCATAATAAAATATTATATTTTTAATTCTTTATTTATAATTTTTTTTTATTATATCTATTTTATTCTATTTAATTTTATAATGTTTTAATAATAAATATTAATTTCATTTTTTATATATTATTTAATCATAATTAATAATTTTATTTAACTATTTTATAATTTAAAATTATTTTTTATATTTGTTTAATATAAATAAAAATAATTAGAAAATTAATCTAACAAAACATAAAAATGATTTCTCATTTTAAATTACAAAAATAATATTTTTTTTACATAAATTTATTTTTAATTATATTTAATTTTTTGTAAATTACGATAAAAATATATAATAAAAAATAGATACACGAAACCGAAATTCATTTTCGTATAATTAAAGAAGAATTAAAAGAATTTGATTATAAAAATTTAAAAAAAAATTAGTATGTTTTTAATAAATATTATAACAAAATATATAATTAATATGTATGAGTATTTTTTGTATTATGATTTTTAATCCTAAATCTATAATAAATTTAGGAACGAATGATGGATTAAATAAATATTAAACGGATATATTAATCTTTATTTATAAAAAAATAAGGTAAAAATTATAATATTTATAAATAGTTTTTTAAAACTATTAAAATATGTTTTTTTCATTTATAATATTTACATTTTTAAATAAATTAATAAATATAACTTCAAAAATATGTAAAATTACTATTGAATACTATAAATTGATTTCTTTTTTTTAAATTTTAAATAAATTTAATATATATTTTCATTAAAAAACACAAATATAAATGATAATAAAATTATAAATCTTATATTTATTTTAAATATTATTATAATTGCAAAAATTAATTAAAACAATTTTATAATTTTTACTATTTTATATAGCAAAATATATATTATTTATAAATAAAAATTTAAAATATATATATAATAATAATAATAATGAATTTATTATATATATATATATATTAATTAAAGTTTTATAATATTTAAAATAATGATATAATTATTATATATTTAATATTATATCTTTAATAAATACTGATAATAATATAATTTTTTTATTTCTATTATTTGCTATATATAAATTTATAATATGTTCCATTTTAACATTATATTAATGCTAAATAAATTATAATAATCAATTCTTATATATTTCATATTTAAAATACATAATAATTTAAAAAGCTATATACTAATATTATATTGATTAAAAAAAAAAAATCGTGAAATATTTTTTATTAATAAAAATTATAAATTTGAAGTAAAAATAAATATCTTAATTAATAATAAATATTAATTTAATTTTTTCTATTTTATTATTTTGTTACATAATTAATTTACGTTTTTTTATTTTAAAATTACGTTATTTTGGGATAAAAGGAAAATTATATTTTATTTTATATTAGATATTAAATAATAATATTTATTTTACAAATAAATATATTTTTAAAATATAAAAAAAGCAGTTTTTTTAAAAATACATTTGATTTTATATAATTTTAAATTTAATACTTAATATTTATTTTAATGGAATAATTTTTAAAAGATTCGTTGAAATAAATATAAAGATAATATTTAATATTTGTTATATATTATAATTTAAATATTTTGTTTTATTTTTATTTTTTTAAACAATTTACCAAAATATTATCTTTTTATAATTCATTTAACTTTTTAAAATAATTAAAAATAAATATAATTGATATAACTAAATACCTCAATTAAAAATAAGATGAAATTATTTCTTAATTAATTGAAAAAAAAAAAAAGATAAATTTTATTAAAAATAGTTATAAAATAACAAAATATAAAAAAACGCTTAATTACAATAGAAATCAGACAGATTATTTAAATATGAAAAATAAAAATAATTAAAAATATAAACAAAAACAATAAAATAATAAAATAAAAATAATGAAAAAACAACAAATTTGTATACTCTTTTTAATACTTTTAACATAGGCTGAAAGTTCTAAATTCAAAGAAAAATATATTAGAATGAATAACTATAGATAATTAGAATAATAATAATAAACATAAAAATAACAAATTGAATAATAATAAAAATAATAAACTGAATAATAAAAATAAGAATAATTAAAATAAAAATAAGAATAGTAAAAAATAGAAGAAAAGAAATAGTAAGAAATATAATAAAAAAAAATATTATAAGAATAATAATAATAATAATAATAATAATAATAATAATAATAATAAAAAGAATAATAAGAATAAGAATAATAAAAATAAGAAGAATAAAAATAAGAAGAATAAAAATAACAATAATAACAATAATAATTTAATAATAATAAGAATAATAAGAATAATAAAAATTAGAATAATAATAAAAATAATTTTAGAATAATATAAATAAGAATAATAAAATTATAATAATAACAGTTACTTAAATAAAAATAAGAATAATTAGGATAATAAAAATTAGAATAACAATAAAACTAATTATTAGAATAATAAAATAAAGAATTATAAAAATTAGAATAATAATAATAGAATGAATAATACTAAAAAGATTATATATAAAAATAATAATCAGAATAATAATAAAAATAAGATTAAGAATAATAAAAATCAGAAAAACTTAAATAATAAGAGTAAAAGTAATAAATTGAAAACGAAGTTTAAAATTGTCAAAAAGAAGAAAACCAAGATAAAAACAATGAAAAAGAAAAAACCAAGAAGAAAAAAATAAAAAACTAGAAAATCATGAATAGTAGAATTAAAAACTGGAAAATATCGATGAAAAATAAAATAATAATTAAAAAAATGTTAAATTAGAAATTGACAAAGAAAAAAATGTTGAAAAACACGAAAACTAAAAATAAAAGGATGAAAATCACGAAAGTAATGAAGAACATGATAACCATGAATAAAAAGATGAAAACCACGAATAAAAGTATGCAAAACACGAAAATCATGAAGAACATGATAACCATCAATAAAAAGATGAAAATCACGAAGAACATGATAACCATCAATAAAAAGATGAAAAACACGAATAAAAGGATGAAAAACACGAAAATAATGAAGAACATGATAACCATGAATAAAATAATAAAAAAGACGAAAAACTCGAAAATCACGATTAAAAGTGTGAAAAAAATTAATAAAAAGATGAAAAACACGAAAATCATGAAGAACATGATAACCATCAATAAAAAGATGAAAAACATGAATAAAAGGATGAAAAACACGAAAATAATGAAGAAAATGATAACCATTAATAAAATGATGAAAAAGATGAAAAACTCGAAAATCACGATTAAAAGAATGAAAAACATTAATAAAAGATTAAAAAGATGAAAAACACGAAAATAATGAAGACCATGATGACCATAAATAAAAAGATGAAAAACATGAGAATAACTAAGAACATGATAACCATAAATAAAAGGATGAAAAACACGAATAAAAGGATGAAAAACACGAAAATAATGAAGAAAATGATAACCATCAATAAAAAGATGAAAAACACGAATAAAAGGATGAAAAATACGAAAATAATGAAGAAAATGATAACCATGAATAAAATAATAAAAAAGACGAAAAACACGAAAATCACGATTAAAAGTGTGAAAAAAATTAATAAAAAGATGAAAAACACGAAAATCATGAAGAACATGATAACCATAAATAAAAAGATGAAAATCACGAAGAACATGATAATCATCAATTAAAAGATGAAAAACATTAATAAAAGGATGAAAAACACGAAAATACTGAAGGCCATGATAACCATCAATAAAAAGATGAAAAACATGAATAAAAGGATGAAAAACACGAAAATCATGAAGAACAACATGATAACCATTAATAAAAAGATGAAAAACACGAAAATCACGAAGAACATGATAACCATGAATAAAAAGATGAAAACCACGAATAAATGGATGAAGAACACTAAATTCATCATATGAATGAAGAATAAAATAAAAATAATTTAGAATAATCAAATGATAATGAATCTAATATAGAAAAGTAAAATCATGATTTAAAATAATAGTGTTAAGCACTTTCGATTTAATATAATCTAAAAAAAAAAGATTTGTTAGATTAATAGAGTAAACTTAATTAAGATATTTTATAATTTAGTGATAATATTTAAGATATAAAATATGAACAAGCTGATTTATAAAACCAATCAGAAAGTTTGCAATTTTAAATTGATGAACTTTTAAAAAAATTAAATGACTTAAATAAAAAATAAAAATCACTATCAGAAACTTTGAATATAGAATAAAATTAATTAGCTGATTTTAAGTAAAATCTTGAAACTGTTAAGGATAGCTTAATTGAAAATCAATAATTAACTAATTAATTAAAAGAAAAATGTAAATCTGATTGATTTATTTTATTTTTAATATAAAAAAATTTATTAAATTGTATTAATTATATTTATAATAATGCATGATTTATATATTTTAATTTGAAATTTTTTTATACATATAAATATATTTTAAATTTATTTAATAATTTTTATTTTAAGATAATTCATATTTATAAACTAAATAAATAAATAAAAAGGTTATACAAAAAAAAACGATATTGGCGATATTGGCCTTATGTTAGGCTTATTTATTTTTTATTAAAAATATAGAATATAATAAACAATATTAAAATTAATAGTTATATTATATTGTTAAATTCATTTTATTATATTTATTTAATATGTTTTAGGATTGATTAATTTATATGATATTTCTTTTCAATTAAAAATTATATTTTTTTGTATTTTTATAATAAAAATAAAATAAAAATGATAATTAAAAAAAATTATTTAAACAATTATATTAAGTTTATATATAAATAAATTTATATTTTTTATTAAAAAATTATATAATAGTTAATGATTGAACTTACTTATAAAAAATATTTATAATATAATTTTATATATTTATAAAAACGAAAATGATAATACTTTTATTATAATTTTAATATTCTAATTATTTAAATTATAAATAAATAATTATTTTTTAATGTATTATTTTATTTATAATGTTATTTTATCAATATATATATTTAAATTAATATTTATATTTATAATATATTATATATATAATTAACATTATTTTTCCTTCTATTTATAAAAACAATTAATAATTAGTTTTTATATTTAATTTTTATTTAATTTACATAATATAAATACAAATAATAATTATAAATATAAATTTATTACTATAAATCTTAATAATTTAAAAAAATAAATATTTTTATTATTATTTTTAATAGTATAATATATAAATTTAAATTTATTAATAAAAAATTAGAGAATTATAAATATTGTTAATTTCCTAAATTTAAATATATAAAAATTTACATATTTATATCATTTAATTTTTATTTTATTTATTATTAAAAAAAAAAAAAAATATATACAATTAATTCTATTTATATATATTAATAAAAATTATAAATAAATATTTTGTTTATTTCTAATTAACCAGTTTAAAAAAATTCTTAAATAATTTAATTAATTAGAAGTGATTTTTTTTTATAAAATTAAAATAATTACTCCTTAGAAATTTAATATTTTTCTGTTTCTAATTTTTGCTTTTAATAAAATATAATATTTTTTTTATATTTTAAATTTTAAAATTTTGTGCCAATTTTTTTTAAATAAAATACCAAAATCAAATAAAAATAAAAAAACATGAGCAACTAAAATAAGACAGTAGAATAAAAATATTAAAAAAAATCTTAACTAGAACATATTCTCCTTCGTCCTGATTCTTATGTTGGTTCAGTTGAATGTGAATAAAAAGTAAAATAAAAAAAATAAAAATTAATAAAAAATATATTAGACTCTTTGGATATTAAGTAAAGAAGGAAACCATTTTATAGAAAAAGAGATAGATTTCGTGCCTGCCTTTTATAAAATATTCGATGAAATAAACGTAAATGCAGCCGATAATTTCCAAAGGCGAGACGAAGGTAAAATAATGGACACACTAAAAGTATTAATAAACCCTGAATAAAATATGATTTCAGTTTGGAATAATGGACAAGGTATCCCAGTAGTAATGCATAAAGAACATAATGTATATGTACCAGAAATGATTTTCGGGTAACTTTTAACAGGGTCAAATTATGATGATAATGAATAAAAGTTGTAGGCGGTAGGAATGGTTATGGGGCTAAATTAACTAATATATTTTCAACAAAATTTATTTTAGAATGTAATGATGAAGATCATGGGAAATACTACAAATAAGAATGGAGAAAAAATATGTCTGAAAGAACTGAACCAGTAATAGAAAAATATAAAAAAGGGGGAAATTATACCTGTGTGACTTTTTTTCCTGATTTAAAAAGATTTAAAATGGAAAGTTTAACAGAAGATACTGTTTGCCTTTTAAAAAAACGTGTATACGATATGTCTGGCATATTTAATACAAATTTAAAAGTATTTTTAAATGAATAAGCCATAAAAATCAAATCTTTTAGTCATTATATTAATATGTTCCTTCCTGAAGTTGATGAAAGTCTAAAAATTTACGATAAAGAAATGAAAACAGACCGCTGGGAAATTCTATTGACTTTTTCTGATGGAGTTTTTAAACAAGTTTCCTTTGTGAACGCTATTTGTACGTCTAGAGGGGGTAAACACGTGGATTATATAGTGGATAAAATAGTAGAGAGGATATAAGAATAAATTTAAAAGAAAAATAAAGATTTAGATATTAAACCTTATTAAATTAAATCCCATATTTTTCTTTTTGTCAATGCACTTATTGTTAATCCGACTTTCGATTCATAAACTAAGGAAACTTTGACCACTAAGGCTTCTTAATTTGGATCTAAACCTGAAATTTCAGAAAAATTTATCAAAGCGATTCTTAAAACAGGGATAGTTGAATAGATTGTTAACTAGGCGAAGGCAAGGGAAAATTCAAAACTTTAAAAAACATTAAAAGGAGGAAAAAAAGCTAGAATTACGGGTATTCCTAAATTAGACGATGCTAATGATGCAGGAACGGCTAGAAGTGAAAATTGTACATTAATTTTAACGGAAGGAGATTCAGCTAAAGCATTAGCTATGGCTGGAATTGAAGTTGTAGGAAGAGATAACTTTGGGGTATTTCCATTGAGGGGAAAATTACTTAATGTTAGGGAAGCACCGAAAAAATAAATCATGGATAATTAGGAAATTTAAAATTTGTGTAAAATTATGGGACTTGATCCTTCAAAAACTAATTATGAAAATGTAAAAAATAACATTATTTATACTTTTTTTTTTTTTTAAATAAAAATAAATTAAAAAATACATACATATCTTTAATTTTATTAAATACATAAAATATAATAATTATTAACAAAAAATAATGAGACTTTATGCATTTTATCAAAAAATATTTTTTTTAAATAATATTCATCTAAATATTTTTAAAAAAATAATATATAGACGAAATCCTTAAGATATGGATCAATAATGATAATGACTGATTAAGATTCCGACGGTTCTCATATAAAAGGTTTATTGATAAACTTTATACATTATTTTTGGCCTTCACTTTTTAGAATGAATGGTTTTTTAAAAGAGTTTGTAACTCCTATTATAAAAGCTACAAAAGGGAATGAGATTCATTCTTTTTTTACAATACAAGACTTTAAAAACTTCGCTACATAATAAGGAAATAGACTAAAATAATATAAAGTTAAATACTACAAAGGGTTGGGAACATCCACTGACAAAGAGGCTAAAGAATATTTTTCTAATGTATATGATCATTAAATAAAATTTCTTTATGAAGACGATGAAGACTTTTAGAGAATAGAATTGGGCTTTTCGAGAAAAAAAATTTAAGAAAGAAAAGATTGGCTAGCAATTTATAATCCAAACTTATTTGTTGATTATAATATTAAGTAGTTGAGATTTAAAGATTTTATTGATAAAGAGCTTATACATTTTTCAAATTCAGATAATTTGAGATCTATACCGAGTGTTGTAGATGGATTAAAACCAGGTTAAAGGAAAATTCTTTTTGCTTGCTTTAAAAGAAATTTAAAAAATGAAATTAAAGTATATATATATATATATATATATATATATATATATATATATATATATATATATATTATATATTTATATTTGTTTAGGATAAAAAATATAACATTTTTATAAAAAGGTTGCTCAATTATAAGGTTATGTAGCAGAGCATTCAGCTTATCATCATGGTGAATAATCATTAGCTTAAACAATAATAAATATGGCTTAAAATTTTGTAGGAGCTAATAACATTAGCTTATTAGAACCTATCGGATAGTTTGGTACAAGAAATCAAGGAGGAAAAGAACATGCTTCTTCAAGATATATATTTACCAACCTATCGCCAATTACTCGATTAATTTTCCCTGAACCAGATGATCATTCACTTAAATATTTAGAAGATGATAGCTAATTGGTAGAACCTGAGTGGTAAATATATATATTTTTTTAAAATAACATTTTTTGAAACAATTTCAGGTATATACCTATTATTCCTTTATGCTTAGTTAATGGAAGTGAAGGTATAGGAACAGGGTGGTCGACTAATATTCCTAATTATAATCATAGAGAAATTGTAGAATAGATTAGGAATAGACTAGATGGTAAACCTTTTACTTAAATTCATCCTTGGTATAAAGGGTTTTAGGGAACTATTGAAATTAGTAATAAAGGTGGTTATATTACAAAAGGAAAATGGGATATAGATGAAGAAGAGGAAACTATTAGAATTACCGAACTTCCAGTTGGTAAATGGACTAAAGATTATAAAGTAATCTATTTAAACTATTTTTTCTTATAAATAAAAAAAAAATATTCTTTAGAATTATTTAGAAGAGTTAATTAATCCAGCTAAAGATTAACCAGATTTAGAAGATATTAGAGAATATCACACGAATAATAGGGTTGATTTCTAAGTTTAGTGTGTAAAAGGGAAAATGTAAAGTTGGGATATTGAGAAGAAGTTTAAGTTGTCTAATACTTTTTAAATTACCAATATGGTACTTTTTGACAAAGAACATAAGCTTAAAAGATATGGAGGAACAGAAGAAATTTTAGAATATTTTTATGGGATTAGATTGGAGTTATATGAAAAGAGGAAAATTTATTTGTTAAGTAAGTTATAAAGAGATATGGATATTCTTACTAATAAAATGAGGTTTATTAATTATGTTGTTAATGGAGAGTTAGAATTGAGAAATGTTAAAAGAAAAATTCTTATATAAAAAATGGCTTAACTAAAATTATTGCCTATGAGTAAAATAACTAAGTATTTTATCAACAAAAATTTAAGTAATATTTTTTCTTATAAAAATTTATAAAAATAATAGGCTTTTGAAGAAAAAAGAAAAGAAAATGAAGAAATTAATAGAATTAATGATAAATCAAGATGAAGAAGACAAAGATTAATTTGAAGATCCAAATGACTATTAAGCAAATGAATATAATTATTTATTAGTTATGCCTATTTATTCTTTAACTGAAGAAAAAGTAGAATAATTAAAAAAATAGGTATATGATAAAGAACAGGAGCTTATTTTATTATAAAAAAAGACATCAAAGATATATGGAAAGAAGATTTAGATTAATTTATTAAAGTAATTTTATTTTTTATAGAAATATAAAATATCTAATAGGTTATTGAATAAATAGAAGAATTAGAAGAAAAGATAGATTAGATTCTAAAGGAGCAATATAAGGTGGTAAAAAAAAGTAAAGAAGAATCAAAGGAGGAGATAAAGGAGCAGATAAATAAGCGGAAAAAAAATCTGAGAAAATAAAGTAAAAATAAAAAGAAAATGATTAAGAAAAAGAAAATTATAATAAAAATACTGTTAGTGTTAATTCAAAAGAAAGTGAAGAAATTTAATAAAAAAAATAATAAAAAGGAAAAAAAAATTAATAACAAGAAGAAAATAATAGTACTAAAAATAATAATTATATTAAACAACACTTTTTGAAAGAATGTAATAAAAATATGGATAAAAAGTTAATGAAGATATTTTATCAGTCGGAAAAAGAAAAGCTTAAGAAGTTACTAAAGATGAAGACTAAGAAAATCTTGTAAATTTTAAAGTAAAAAAATTAATATTTCTTTTTTATTTTTATATTAAAAATAAAAATTAATAGAGAAAAAGAAGAATAAAAGGAATAAACAGTGATGATGAACCCGATTTAGATTATATTAAGCCAAGTGAAAAATTAAATAATTGGAAAGAATAAAATGATGGGAAAAATAATTTTGAGGAAGATGTATAGAAAAAAATAAAGGGAAGGAAAATACTTAAGATTATTGATGAAGATGAAGAAGTTAAAAAATAAAAAATTATAAAAATGAAAAAAGATAGTTCTGATGAATTTATTGCGAGTGAAGATGATTTTGAAGATAGTGATTATTGACTAATTAATTTATTTTTATAGAATTATAGAATAAATATAAAATTAAGATTGAAATTTATTTTAATAATAATATAAATAAATAATTAATTTACTAAATTTTAAAAGATATTTTTTTAATAATATAAAAAATTAAATAAAATAAAATAAAATAAAATTCAACAAAATGTATTAATTAAAAATAAAATAAAATTCAACAAAATGTATTAATTAAAAATAAAATAAAATTCAACAAATTGTATTAATTAAAAATAAAATATAAAAAATAATATAAAATAAAAATAAAAAAAATAAAATAAAAAAAAATAAAATTACATAAATAAAAAAATAAATATTTTTTTGTTATATATATTATTTATTAATTTAAATAATAAATAATTATAATTTATTTTAATAAAATCACATATTTCGAGTAAATTTTATATAAATATAAAAATATTATTTTAATATAATTAAATATATATATATATATCTATATATTTATATATTTATATATTTATATATATAATCTAAATTTAAAATAATTATTAATATTATATTTTCTTTAAAAATTATATTTATATTTTATTTAATACTAAAATATAAATTATTAAATGGATAATAAATAGAAATCATCTTATAAAAAATAAAAAAATCGTAATCATAAAACTTTTTTTATTTTTATTAGCTATTGTAAAAATAAGAAAATTTAATTTATCTAGCATATTATTTATTTAAATTTATTTATTTTTCTAAATAATAATTAATATATTAAATCATGTTGCATTTATATTTTTTAAAATAATAATTAATTTATAAATAAATTATATTTATCAATTTTCTATATTTAAGATAATTAATATATAATTTAATTATATAAAATCTTTATTATTTATGTAAAATGGAAAAATTAAACTAATTAATATATTACTTATTATAATTATTCGTATACAAAATTCTTCATTATTATATGTAATAAAATAAAAATATTTTTTTGTAATATTTATAATTAATTACATTTAATTTATCTAATATTTTGCAAATTATGAAAAATTAAAACTATTAAAACATAAAGATTTTTAAATTTATTGAATAATTATTTTAATAGTATTAATTTCTTATTTAAAAATATATAAAATTATCAGAAACATATAAAATATTAAAAAAAGTATTTTTATCTTAATTTTTAATGAGTTTATTGTCCTAACATTTTTAAATATTCTTTAATTTAAATGTATTCATTATTAAAAAAATATTCGATAACAATATTTAAAAAGAAATTATATATATTTACTAAAAATTTATTTAAATACATATTCTTTTTATTTAAAATTCATTTAATGTAAAAAAAAATTATGCATGTTTATTTTTCTTATCTAAATATATTTAATTTTTTTTTATTATTTGAATAAAATATAATTAATAAAATTAACAAAATTCTTAAATTTATATTTAAAATTATAATAATATAAAATTTAAATTATCTTTAAATACCATTAATTTAAGAACAAAGTATATAGGGTTTTCTTTTTTTTATAATTAAATTTTTATAAGTCAATTAATGCATAAAAATAGTAATAAGTATTAAAATACTTTTTTTTTGAATTTCATTTTAATATTTTTTTATTTACTTCTTATTTTTATAAACAAATTTTGAAATTAAATAATTATTTAAATTTTCTAAATAAAAATATGATTCTCATTTGAAATTTATTTTATTATTATTATTTAGTTTTACATAATAAAATTTTAATAATATTTTTTTTTTTTAAATTTAATAATTTATTTTTAATTAATTGTAGAATATTCTTTTCTTTTTAATTTATATCAATATAGCTTTAGTAATATATAAATTTTACTTTTATGATTAGAAATTATTAAAAATAATAAATTAATAATATTTTTTTTCATATTAATTCTAAATAATTAATAAAAAAATTATTTTTATATAAATTTTTTTGTAAATAAAGAAAGACATTAATAAAAAATAAAAAAATATATAAGTAAAATAAAATTGACTTTCGTTTAATTAAAAAAAATAAAAATATTGATTCTAAAGTTTTATTTTAAAATTTGTTTCATCAAACTAAATAAAATATTTTCTAATACAATTTTAAATTAAAACAGTTATCATAATATGTTATTTAATATTAATTTTAAGTAAATCAATTATTTTATTTAATCAAATAGTGTTATTTGTATTTTTTTTAATAGTTATTGTAATTTTTATATAAATGAATAAATCATAAACTAAAATAAATATTATTGATTTATTTTAATATATACCATTTTTAAAATTATTAAAAATCTTAAATAAAATTTATATTAAAATTTGAATAATAATATTATTTCTAATAGAAAAATATTATAATTAATAAAACATAAAAACAATTGAATATAAATATTTATTATTTTAATATTTTTGAATTTAAATAGCAAATTTTAATGTAAACTATTACATTTATATGCTATAATATTTTTATTTTTTTTAAATACTTTAATAAATAAGATTGAAATTCATAATATTAGCCAAAAATTTTTTAATTATACATTATGAAAATTAGCATTACATTATGATTATATAATATTTCAAATTTCTTATAGTAATGCCTTAAATTTAATATATTAATCGTTAGTTTATTGAAGTTAAAGATAATTATTTAATTTATTATGATAATTTATAACAAAATTATTATTTTTAATGAATTCTGAATACTTATAAAATGTAATTTAATAAAAAAAGAATTATATAAATAGATAGCTAATAATTATAGGATTACTATAATTTAATAATATAGAATAAATAAAAATCTCTTATATCAACTAAAAACATTAAAACAAATATAAATCATAATCGCAATAAATGCATTCTTCTTCATCTTATTCTTTTTGAACTTATAATTTTTCTTCAATTTCATAATAATAATACTAAAAGAAATGCAAAAGAAATATATAATAATATAATAATGCATACAATAAAATATTGAAATTTAATAAATTTTACATATAAATAAATTGATAATAATAATAATTATAATTTAAGAACAACATTAAAAAAAGAGTAAAATCCCACGAATACTTATGTTTTGGCAATAGGTAGAACTAATATAATGAAGTCTAAATTACTAATCGTATAATAAAAAAAAAAAAAAAAACATATTTTTATTAACTAATCGTTGATAAATTTGGCAAATGCTTTAAAAAATATGTTTAAAATTTTAGAATCAATTCAAAAGACAATCAAAAATATTGAAATTATAATAAAAGGTTTTAAATAAAATAAATAAAAATAAATCAAACTTTAGGTTTTTAAAAAAGCACTTCTTAATGTTACAATACTATAAAGAAATTTTGTTAAATAGTTTTATAAAAAAAATATGTAATTAAATAAATATTTATTTACTTGTAAATTTGTTTTTTATAAATTTTCAATATTAAATAAAATTAATATTTATTTATTCATAAAAAATATTATTGCAAATACAAATAAAACCATGCAATAATTAATCCTAATATCAATAATTTGAAAATTTTTGACATATAACCTTCAGGTCTTAAATTTTATAAAATATCAAAATTTAATTCAGGTGTTCCAGCAACTAAAAATCTAGAATCAGATGTAAAGCTAATTCCTTTGACAATCTGAGCCAGTTTTTTTTATTAAGATTCGATAATCATATATCTTAAATTAATTATTTTTATTGTTCCATCACATCCGCCTACTCCGATATATAACCCTTCCTAACTTATGCAAGAAGTGCTTATTGCCTAATCATGTATTTTTATTGTCTTTTCAGCAATTATATTTATTTTTTTCTATTTCCCATTATGTAAAATACGATTTTCCTTTAATAGGGTTTGCAATTGTGTAGATGTGTTTTTCATCATAAGAAAAACTTAGTTATTATTTTAATTAATTTTTTAATATTTTATATATTTTACTAAGCACCAATAAATTTTGAGCAAGGATCAAACTATCCTCCATTTAAAGTTAATTTTTTTATTAATTATTTATTTTCCAGATTAAAAATTCCACATGATTTATCATCACTAGAAGATAAAATCTTTTTTGAAAAATTTAATTATAAAATTTATTAATTTTTTTACTAAATTTTATGTTAAATGAAAATCTAATGTATTTATTGGCCCTGAATGACTCTTTAATTCAAATTTAAATTCTATTTTTAATGTATTTAGTTCTTCATCATATTTAGCAGTCCATAGTCTAATTTAATTTAATTTAATTTAATTTAATTTAATTTAATTTAATTTAATTTAATTTAATTTAATTTAATTTAATTTAATTTAATTTAATTTAATTTAATTTAATTTAATTTAATTTTAAGTCTTATTATTTTTACCTTATAATTGAATCATCTCCTCCAGTAGCTATTAAATTTGCTTTTTGATTAAATTTACAATCATTCTATAAATATTTTTAAATTTTATTTATATTAAATAGTAATTAAATTTAAGGTAAATTAAAAAAAAA